TCTCCGCGGCTCGCGATGGCGACCTCGAGGAAGCGCAAGCGCTGCTCCAATGCAATCCCCGGCTTGCGAAGTACTCCACTTTTGGTGCCAGGAACTCGCCGCTACACTTTGCGGCAATGCAGGGTCACAATGAGGTTCGTTTCTTTCGCGAATTCGATCTAAATCCTCATGTTGGGTCGGGATTTTGTTCCTTTTCTCTCGATTTAGATCGTAACTTTGCTGCTGGAGCATGGTGTTGATGTCGATACCAGGAAATATTGCGGCCAGGTAGATTTTTTCCTTTGTTTTTTCTTGTGTCTAATCTTCATTCCTTTCGATCTTTGTGGTTTTTGATGAATGGAGTAGACCGCATTGATGCAATCATGTCGGCATGGTCACTGGGAGGTTGTCCAGACATTGATTCTCTACAATGCAAACGTAAGTGTTACTTTGCTTCCTCCACTGAATTAAATGGCGTGATTCTTCTCTCGATCTTGCTTTCCAGGTAAACAAAGGGGACTACCTTAACGGGTTGACGGCACTCCATTTTGCCGCACTCAATGGCCATGCACGATGCTTGAGGCTTTTGGTCGCGGACTACGTCCCAAGTGCTCCAAGCTTTTGGGGTCCACGAAGAAATCTGTCCGTGCCAGACCAGGGCCCCGATTGTGTAAGCGAAGAGACGACGTCTTTGAGAAGGTACTGCCTAAAGTTTTCTCTTTTTTTTTTGCTTCGTACTGCTTTAAAACGAATCTCTTGGGTGTGTTGCTAGTTCTCTCCACAAGCTTATCAACAAGACTGCTGACGGAGGAGTAACAGGTCTTCATATGGCTTCCTTGAAGGGGCACGCAGAGTGTGTGCATCTGTTACTGGACTTGGGAGCCGACGTCTCGGCACTTACGTTCCAGTATGATACGACCGTCGACATGATAGGTGAGTCTTTCCTCATTAAAATTTGAGTGTTTAAACTCTTTTGCTTCTCTCAGGTGCGGGAAGCAGTCCTTTGCACTATGCAGCTTGTGGAGGGAGCATACACTGTTGTCAGGTTTGCTATGGCGTGTTTATGTAGCTCACGCAATTTTTGTTTCTGGCAGATGTTGTTAGCGAGAGGTGCTAACCATCTGGCAATAAATTGCAACGGGTACTCAAAGATAAGTTGGATCTGGATAGACGAATACTGATACAGCTTCCACAGGTGGATTCCACAACAGGTTGCTCAGGTCTGGGGCCGGCATTGGCTAGATGGATTGCTTGCACCACGCTCTCAATGTCCAGTGCAGTCACTTGGTTTGTCCCCGTTCCTGACTTCGCCTCTAATGAGCATCGTACAGATTGCAAGGTAAGAAGGTTTCAAATCTCGTTTCCACCTGACAAGTGTCTCTCCAGAGAATGCGGCTTGGGTGACATGAGCATTCTAGCGTCTGGAATGGACTCCTGTGCCGTGTGTCTAGAGAAAATTTGCACAGTTGCTGCAGAAGGTCGGTTGGGTGATTTTACTGAGCAGCCTGACGTATCTTCCCATATCTTACAGGATGTGGACACGAACTTTGTACAAGATGTGCTCTCTATCTCTGCTCGAACGGCACGAGCATGTCCGATCCAGCGGGAGCTGTTCCGTGTCCGCTATGCCGGCAAGGCATCGTCTCCTTCAGAAAGCTCCCTTCGGCTTCGCCTATCAAGGACCTGACGAGATCGTCGGCACTGGGCCTCTGTACAACGTGCACGGTGGACGAGCCTGAAGCGCTATTTCCATCGGAGTTCTCCTGCAGGGCGGACAAGAGAAGCAGAGTTTTGCCGCTCTCCCCAGTCGGGAGGAGCGTTACGTGCACGGGATTCTCGACTATGAACCTCCCTTGCGGTAAATATGATCCAGCTCTTGCTACTCCAGACCAGGCGGAGGCTCAAGAAACCCGAGATCACCATCCGGAGTGGTCGCTAGAGGGAGGATCTCACGAAGAAGCTCAAATTCCAGCTTCAGCTCCAGCGCCAGATCGAGCTACAACTCCTCGCTCCTTGTCCGAGTCGGCTCTGCGATCGAAATCGCCCAAGAGAGGCTGGCTCCAGGATTTTGTAGCGTGGAAGCAAAAGCACAATTGCTCCTCCAAGCCCGCCTCGAGTTAGCGCCAAAAAATCAAATTTGAATGGAATATTTCTAGGGTTAAGGTTTGGAGTGACGATCGACACGCATTGACTATAGCATGAACGCGCAAACGTGTTGGCTAAACACCAAACATTCGTAAGTATATCATTCACTCTGTTTACATATCTATTCGAGCAAAACACAGAGCTTGCAATCACCAGTCTTGATCCCACGGGTAAGTCTGCTCAGCTGTCAACGAAGTTATTGGGTTTGCCAAGTCTGCCATTCATTGCGAGGACAAGTGCAGAGAGTTGGAAGATTCATTGATCCAAGCATCAGCTCAGATTGACCACTCCTCCAAGGCAATTGAAGGGCACTGCACAACATCAAACAGATCCAAAAGATCACCAGATTTCCAGACATCATCTAACACCAGCAAGCACCTCTTCCCTGCAAGCCCCCTCCTCAATGTTTCATTTCTAATCCGACCTTCTAGTCTGATTTGTTTGGCAAGTTTGTCTGGCTTTGCTTCCACCTGAAAAGATGCAACCATAGTAAGTGCCATCGCCTCGCAAGCTCCACCTAAAGACTGAAGATGAACGCGTTGAGAAGATGAAAGAGAAGTATAACACGCAGGAAAAGAATGAGGAGTCCAAACCTGCACCGGGACGATCCCCTCCCTAGCTCTTCCCGCTCGATCGCCGCCCTGTGAAGTCTGGTCAAGTACTCCGACTCAAAACCTTCAAGCCGTGGTTGCGATGGTTGCGGTAAGTTGCATGGATTATTTTTTATTCTTTTCTGACAACAAGGTTTTGATATATAGTCACTTTCTTCTCTTTACAAAAGTGCGCCTCAATAAAAACATAGAATCGAATCGCTCGAACAAAGAAGGCAAATAATTGGTTCGAGTGGAGTCACTCGAGCATCAGTAAGCTTGTCGGCTTCTTTTTCCTCTCACTTGCAGAATGAGGAGCAGAAAGTTTCTCCCGTGGCGGATCCAGAGAGAAGTTCTAAAAATGCGGTTGAATAATTAACGAGGCACAGTGCCAAGTTGAAAACTAAACCGCTTGAAAGAAGTATTTGGGAGGGATGTTTTGAGTAACGATTTCGTGTAACTTTTTGAGATCTTTGTAGTACTATTTAGTGACAAGTGATCAATGTAAAGTCACGAGCGTGAACTCCTTTTAATTCGTTCAAGTTTGGTACATTTAGAGTCTTGAATACAAAGATTTTCATTCCTCTCTCATATTTCAAGTCTGTCGTCCTTAAACTTTCGACCTCAAGCGCACACGTTCATGAGTTGGGTCTTCATTTTACTCACTACGCAGTTCTTCTGATACTTTTGCTGTTTTGCCGTAAGTTGAATACTTCGTGCAGGAGATCTTTTTCCTGCAAGTGCCTCTGAAAGCCTTCGCCCGGGAGCCTTCAGAAGGCGTTAAGCACGAGGACAAAGCTCCCAAGACACTCCAGACCTGGAGGCCCATGACTCTCTTGGAGCTCAGCGTAGAAAGCAGCAAATTCCAAGCTGTGATGGGGTTTGCTCGTACCAAGAGTTTGATCTACGTGAGCACTGATGACAATCTGCCACAGAACCTTCATCGTGCTTGCCTCCTCCACCACTAACGACTCTATTCCAGGGACCAGACGGACAGCGTGAGCAAAAGAATATAATTCGAATGAAATCGCTCAAGCACTAGTGGCTCCTTCAAGCTTGTCGATCTCAGGTACTAGAGTGAGGCTTCTTTTCCAGCAGAAAGTTTCTCCCATATGAAAATGGCGTGATGGTGTGAGGTTCTTTCTCAAGTTTAAAACATCTTATTAATTATGAACGCACTAGAATATTTCAAAGCTATCATAGCTGAAGTTACGACTGGCCTCAAGGGCACATCTTCTTTGGTTCATGAGTTGAGTCTTCATTTTACTCACTATGCAGTTATGGTGCTTTTGCTGTTTTGTTGTCCCCTTGTAAACCACGGCATCACTTGGAACAAAGTTGAACACTTCGTGCAGGAGATTGTTTTCTTGCAAGTGCCTCTGAAAGCCTTCGCCCAGGAGCCTCCGGAAGGCATTGAGCTGCACGGTTTGGCTCCACGTACTGATCTTGAGCGAGTCACCATGCTTGAGCTTGAGACAAGTCTCGTGACATGCACCACCTTCGAGAATCGCCACCATGTCCCTGAAGCTGCTTCTCTGCTCGGATCTTTCTTTCTTTGTCTGGCCCTTCCGGCTGGAAGAGGCAGCCAGCGCTTTCATCTGATCCACCACCTGCAGCTCCATCGCCATCGTCTTCGTTGTTTCACCTTCGCCAAGAGCTTGCTGCAAGAGGTGGATATCGCCAAGTTCGCAGAGAAGAGCAATGGCTTCCCCGGCAGCCTTGCGAACACCTAGATCTGGATCCTCGAGCAACGAGGACAGAGCTCCCACGACACTCGAGAGCTGGAGGGCCATGACTCTCTTGGAGCTCAACGTAGAAAGCAGCAAACTCCAAGCCGTGATGGCGGCCGCCTTGACTGGAGGTGGGGGTTTGCTCGTACCAAGAGTTTGATCTGCGTGAGCACTGCCTTTGTGGATGACAATTTGCCACAGGACCTCCATTGCGTTTTCTGTGGACGCCTCAACGCCACCAACGAAAGTTAACATCCCGAGAGCCTCAATCGCTGAAACCCTCGCGGCAGAATCGCGTCCAAGCTTGGAACTCCTGGAGAGATGAGGGAAGCTAGCCTCGAATACGTGCTCGGCCACTTTCCCTGCTCCCGCGGTGATGGAAACCATGGCCAGAGCACGCCCCGCAAGAACAGCCTCTGTCGAAGAACTCTGCTTGATTGACGATAGGATTTGATGAGTCAACGTTTCATACTTGTCGTCGACGAAGTGGGTCATCACCCTCGCCCCCAAAGCGTCAATCATGCCCTTCAAGCCGGCCTCTCGGGTGCTCGATCGCTTCTCGTACAAAGAATCCAGGCTTGCCTCCAAGTCGGAGAGTGTGGATGAAGAATCGTCGTCCATATGCTCCGTGTCACACTCGTGGTGTTTGAGTTTGTTATCCTTGTCTTCGGCATGCCTCTTGCACTTCTTTGACACTCTCTTTGACGATCGTACCTTAACGCACTCCATCGCCCTTTTGCTGACAGGAAGAATGAGCACGCCCTAGTTCTTTGCGATATTTTATACTCGCAAAAGGAGCCTTAATTTAAAAGTCATAAAAAGGTAATTAATTTTAAACAATCAGTTAAGTAAATACTTTTTCTAATTGTTTTTTTTTTCCTGTTTATTCTCCGTTTTTTGTTTCATTCCGAGAGTGTTGCTATGCAGGATATGAAAGGCACTGCTCAGGAAAAGATGGAGCAGGCCAAGGACTTGGCTTCGGACGCGTCCCAGAGGACGAAAGACAAAGCTGGCGAAACCAAGGACCAAGCTAGTGGTATGCTCCAGCAGGTAAGGAAACAACCCTGGAATCAAAGATGTGGTTGAACAAGCCGCAGAGACGACTAAAGAAACGCTGGCTGGAACTAAGATAAGAGAGAGCATGCCTACTACGGACAACAAGGCGTAGAAAAAAATGCACACCTTTAGAAACTTGATCTCGCGTTAAGCAGGTCCTCCTGATTTAAAGGGCACCTGAAAACTTGGAGAACTGGTTCTGCCGTCGATTCCCTGCTTCTGTGATACAGGACCTTTAACTTGCAACCGCCAGTGGAGCACGGAGAGGAGGAGCCTCCAACATGAGAACCGGAGGTGGCGCGGTTGACGCTGCTGCTTTCTTTTGCTGTGTCGAAGCCACGAGACGGGGCGGAACAATCTCAATTGCTGCCTTCCTCTGCCAGGTCCGCTTCCTTCTCCATGGAGAATTTGGTCGGGCGTATCTCCAGCGCTGAAGCAGTGACTTCAACGAAAGACTTCCGTGAGCCTGTGAATGAAAGTTCCATAGGAAACATTTGGAATAGAGCCCAGTTACTTACATATGCGTGAAGTGTCGCTTCTGCGATCATGCCAGTCCCTTGCCATGAATTTTCTGATATAGCAGGATCTCCTAGAAGTGCGGCTGCAATGGCTGCTTCCCGACCATCCATCATGCAGCTGCATTAGCATATCTCTAGCAAAAACAAAAAGGAAAAGAAGTGAAAAGCTTACTGTTAAACGGCAGCAAGGCTCAGAGAAAAATGTGCCCGAAGAACGGTAGGATCCAGAGCACCTTCGACAGCAGTAGTCACTGCCAGCTTCTTTAGCGCTTCAGTTGAGATCTCAGATTGAGTGGTGGCATCGGCGGCATCCACCAGCTCAAGAAATTCCTCAGAGAACTTCACAATTTTCTCCTTCGTTGTCAAGGCTCATCACCTTTTGTTCCAGGAGTTTTGCTCTTGTTTAGCGTGACGAGGCATTGCAAAGCTCTCTCTTTAATTCCCCACCCTGCATCGCGAGGTCATACTCCAGCCTACAGAACAGCAAATCACTCAACAAAAGAAGCAAGAACCGAAATGCAAGTGACAAACCTCTTCGAAATGCCAGGCAGATCGTAGCATAGAGCAAGGTCTCTCGTCCAAGCTTGAAAGCGCTGCAAAACATGGAATGCCAGTTTAAAGCAAGTACTATCAGGATGACTAAGCTCGCCATTCCATACAGCATCGGTAGCCCCGGACACCACAAGCGTCTAAAAATTCAGAGAGTTAACTACGCTCTCTATCAATCCGAAAGCTCTAACATACCTCCCGGCTAGACGTCATAAAAGTCATGAGACACACGACTGATTCCTTGTGGATCACAAACATATCACAGCGGCGCTTTGTTTCCCAGGATTTGTTTGGGAGCGTCCCGAGCACGCATTGTGATGAGATCCCAAGAAGATGGCTGTGTTCTCGCAGCAGAAAACGAGGAGCCAGAGCTACCCGAAGAACCGGGCGGAGAGAACTAATGAGCGTCTGCCGCAGCTGTCCAACTGATCCACCATTGCCAGAAGTGCACATCGTCATCGTAAAATCTGATGTGCTTCACACTGGCAAGGCAAAGAAGAACACCATTAGAACCAAGGAAAGCCTGTCACGCAAGACTTCATTACCTTGAATCGAGACCTGGATTTCGTATCCAAGAGATGCATCCAGAAATATTTTACCCGGATCTCCCTCGGGAGCTGTGCTCCAGCGAGGCGCTGCAGCATTGAGCCAAGACCTAGAAATCCCGAATCTATGAGATTTCCCGATTTCCCGAGCAAGAGCTCACCTGGCGATGCTCCCGAAAACATAAATTAGGGCATTTTATAAAAAAAACCTGGGGCGAATCAAAATTATTAATTGGACTCGTATAACAGTCCACTTTTACATTTACCTGTCTGATAATAAAATAACATATTATGTACTTAAACCAAAATCCATGGCGCATTTTCAATGCTCGAGGCTGGTGCTTCGTACTTGACACAACCCCTTTGCGGAGGTCAAATCTAAATTGGTCGATCTTGCACTTGATTGTTGAGCCCAAAAAGCACAATTTTTTCAAAAAAAAGAGCAAAAAATATGGGGAGTATATATAATCATAAAATATATCACAGAAGAAGGCATCACATGCCTTATGTGTCATTACACTAATCGCATCACCATATATCAATGCCACTTCCTTAAGTTGATAGATACGCTCTCCTGAGTTTGCTCTAAATCCCCAAGCTGATTCAAGCAGAATATATGTCATGTCTTCTCAAGCACAGGTTGGTTTCACCATTCACCTCCACTGCCTTGCAAAGAAACTTGAGCACCGCACCAAGCACCAGCGTGCTTATTCTGTGATCCGGGAATCGAGCAGAAAAGTCCCTGGTACTGATGGCGTGGTTGTGGGCGAGCGGAGATTCAAGCGTCCTCCGCACAAGGTGGGGTGCTGGATTTTTTACGGGACAGCTATGGGCAAGACACTGACGGGGATGCACTTGTGGACGACACTCTGGAGGCCCTACGAACTAGGTCCACTGATCTTGATTTGCATGGATTAATTTGTTTCTGTTACCTAGGCCCTTTTGTTGTTTGTGTGCTTCTGATTGAAGTGGCGTGTTAATCATTTCTCAATGCTCGATTTCTTCAATGTTTGTCCGATTTTGAAGGTTGTGTGGTTTTTCTTTTCTAACAATTGACGTGGTGATACCAGGTTCCCATAAGATGCAGTTGTCGAAAAGCTTTTTGAGCTATACGGGGAAAAGGGTGCAAAAGGCCGGGACCGGAAAATGTCCATGGCTTGAACTGATCGGCCGCTACTTTAGCATTCATGGACATGATGAAACATATGATGTACTTTTGCGAGGCTCAGTGAGGATGTATTCTCCATCCGAATGCAACTGCGAGCCCTGGATAGGATACTAGATCATGGTAAAGGACTAAGTTGTACTCCAAAGACGCATGCCATGTCCATAACGTCTTCCTGTGGAAGGTGCTGGCCTAAGGGCTCACGCTTGGAGAGGTTGCGCCAGTTTTGTGTCCACCCTCGACTTCCCAACGTCTCCCCCGGGAATGCAATCATCCCAATGAAAAAAAGAAGTCAGAAATAGGACCATCCCGCCAAATCGCGTTTAGCCGCTCTAAAGAGGAACACCGTACTTATAGTCTTTTGGATTCTTCGTGAGCAGCAGGCCCAATTTGATCGCTCCAGCAGCCACTTTGTCATAGTCGACTCTAAGAGACGAGTCCTCTAGGTTTGCGTGCTGTGTTTGCTCTAGCAAGCCGGTCAGCCACTTCGTTTTCTCATCCTCGTCCAGAAAGTGTCGTGGCTCTTCTGCAAAGCCAAAGAAAGATTAACACAACACTAAGCATTCTGCACTCACCTCGGGCCATGTTCAAGACGATCATCATGTAAAGCTTTACAATGCGAAGCACCTGTAGTAACATTTACATAAACAACACTAGAAAGAGAAAATATCAGATTACCGTTTGCATTTTGTCGCTGGAGGTGTTCGAGTATTTCAGATCGAAAGACATCCTATCGGCAGAACTATAGAAGTCCTGCCGCATCAGTTTGAATTCCTCCAACGCCTCCTGGTCGTCTCCTTGCCATGAACGTCCGAGGCGTATCTTGGCGGTTCGTAGTACCTTCGACATCTACATTGCACACGAAATAAGAAAACAGAAAGGGAGAGAGAACAAGAAAAAAAACAAGGAACAAACCCTTTTTCTACTGCCTGTACTCAAGGCCGTCCGAAACAGAACTCTACACACTTTGGCCAGCTGAACAATGTTGAGAGAATACAGTATGTCACAGAAAACATCCCCTTCCAGAGATCTGCCTATGCCTGAATGCGTCTCAAGCACGTCCAGGATCAGCTGCTCATAACACACTTGTCAGATCTATCAAGTGTCGAATGCAAAATCACACTCACATTCAGAGGCGGAACGACCATCTCATGGTCGTCAACTTGAACGCCATTCTGAAAAATCTTTTGCAGAAAAAGCAACCACTCGTGCACGTGCACACGGCGAAGAGGCGAGCCTTGCTGCCTGTCATAAGGACCTTCAACGAGACCTTGTGCGAGACGGATCATATCTGTCGTCCCAGGCAGTGAAGAAGCTGCTGCAGCTTGTGTGTGGACAACGTCAACAAAGCCTGCGCTAGTCAACACCAGTCAACAGGCAGCAGCAGACTTCTTGATTACCTTGTAGCGCCAATCCAGTGCGAACAAACGACGTCCTGTATTCGCCCAACCATTTGTCCAGCTTGCACCGCTTTAGATACTTCACTACCAAGCAGAAAGTGATTTTTACTTCAGGAGAAAAGTAGACAACAGGTACCTAAGTCCTTGAGCTCCATGTGAGCACTCAGGTGTCGAAGTCGCAAAACTTCTTCGCACCTGGAACCACGGATAGTACCTACAATGGCCTTGAATGAACCAAGAAAAGTCAGTGCAGCACAACATAAACTAAAGACATTACCGTCAGCACCCAGTTGTAAGCCTCCCACAGCGGGTGCTGCGATTGATTACAGCGTCAGAGGCAGCCAAAATTTTGAAGCATGAAAAGACATCGCACATACGCTACAGTGATGTTGCAGCTCCCCGCAAAAACGTATGAGTGTATCCAAGAGATGCTCTGCGAACGGAGTCTTTTTGTCATTGTCCCACAGCTCAACACAAGCATTCAGTAGACAACACAGAACAGAGAGAACTTCTTGCGTGTATTCTAGGCACTCCCGAGCAGACCACAACCATCGTCATCACCACGGACCAGCCTACTTCATGTCCGCGGTGCCATCGTGCATCCCCTACATCACCACCAAGGAAGATAAACGCGTAGCATCTTCGTAAAAAATCGCATCACCAAGCTCCTGTATGTATGCGCTATCAGGATGATTGACTACCAAAAGCATGCCAACCTTATAAATTGAAACTTCCCTCCTCTTGGATGTTGGATGCTCATCCTCCTCCGCGTTGCGCTTCTTGCTCTCCATGGCCGATATGCCCTAATTCCCGAACCCTACCACCTTTTCAATTGGTCACTACAGAGGGTACAAAGAGAGGAAGAGAGGAAATGGAATAAAAAAAACTACTACTCTCCGCTATATATCCCCATACTGCCAGTGTACGAATCTGGCGTACACCTTGACTCTGTCAGATGGAAAAACTAGCTCCCACTGGACATAGAGCCTCCAACTCTGCTTGAGAGATCCATGTATCAGTTTCCTGCCAGCAAACAAGGAAGCAAGGAACTTCCTGATGCCGTAATTGGTGTAGGATCCGTTCTGGAGCCAAGAGTTGCTTGTGACTGCTGGAAGCGGGACTGTTGCAGAAGGCGGAATCAAGTCCGAAAGGCATCATGCAGCTTCGTTGAGGTTGGCATTTTTGCCACTTAATTGAACCTAGCTTCTCCCGAGGTGAAAAACGGACATAAGCGTGGTCGCCAACAGCAAACGTCCTTGGAGACTTGTGACAATCAGCAAAACATTTCATGCTAGTCAAATGTTGCTGGACAAGCCTAAGTAGGTCCTTTTTGTCCCTGACAGAACCACTTCTCGGATTTTGGAGTTAGGAGGACAGAATCTAAATTGGTCGATCTTGCGCTTGATCGTTGTGTTGAGCTGGAAAAAAAAAAAGAAAAAAAGAGAGGCCTCCATTGTCATTTTCAAAAACTGGAATTCATCTTGCCTCAACTTCCATGGTTACGGTCTGTGAGGGACATCCACTTGAAGCCACATTTGTAACTTATTGACGAACTGAAAGAATTCATCGGGAAAACAATCCTTCGTAACTCTGAAAAGCGTACCGTTATGTTCACGCGACACGCAGGGTCCTTTTGTAGTCCTGGAACGAGCCGTGAAATGGCGATACTTTTCCTTCTGTCACAACCCAGAGCTCGTCCACGCTTCCGGATATCAGGTGCTCGTCATGGCTCACCTGTTGTAAAAAATCATTAGAAAAAACAAACACAATGTTCTCCTACCATTAAAACTCCTCCCTGAAAGAGTGCTAGGCCTTGTATGAGTGCTTCCACGGCGTCAAGGTCCTATAAGCATGCAAACGGCAATATCAAGATAGTGTTGGAAGACAATAGCAGATTCTTACAAGGTGATTCGAAGGCTCATCCAGTAAAAGAATGTGTGGTTTGTTGAATGTGATTTTTGCAAAAGCGACACGACTCTTTTGCCCACCTGTATAAAAACTTTTAGTCAAGGAAACAAGAACTTCAAATGTTACCTGATAGAGTATACATGGCTTGAAGCGCCAGGTTTCCCGAGAGACCAAACGAACCCAAGTGAGCGCGAATCTTCTGCTCTGGAGCACCCTGTACCAATGAACGGTCATAAACTGATAACACACGCAAGACGAGTAGCAGGGACACTTACAGGGAAACAACGTGACATGTAGAGGAGAGGCGTTGATGAAAGGTCAAGGCCGTCTACATGGTGCTGACTAAAAACAGCCATGCGCACCTGGACAATGGCCACCTAAGAATGGTTATACAAATCTTCCAGGAGTACCTTTGGAGACCGAAAGACAGTTCCAGACACAGGCTCCAATTCACCAGAGATCAGCTTCAGCAGTGTTGACTTCCCAATACCATTAGCACCAACAACTGAAATATCAAACGTTAGAGCCCAATGTTACCAGCGGGATAACATTACCAGCTAGGCGACTGTCCAAGTCGAGGCCAAAGTTCAGGTTTCTAAACAGGACTGGACCTCCTGGATATCCAAATGACGCATCACTGTAGAACATTTTTTAAGTCAAACACAACACAAGTCATAGATTAGTTACCTGAAGCTAATTATGGAGCCGGATGGTCGATCGTCTGGAGTTGGGAACTCAAACTTGTAGCTGGAAAAAAAGAAAACCATATTAGAAGCAAACTTAATGAGCACAAAACATACTCTGGATCATTCACAACAGCATCCACGTATCCAATCCGATCCAAGGCCTAAAAATCCACACAAATATAAGAGAAAATCGTGACGAAGGCATGGGCTTACTTTGATTCTTGACTGAACCAGCGACGCACGTTTTGCGTTGTATCTAAACTTGTCCACAAATGCCTGCAAATAGGCACGAGCGGTTACAATCGGTCAAATGAATGTCAAGAAAGGCAAACCTGGATGTGCGCTCGAGTACGCTCATTCGATTCGTGTGCCTTCTGTTGATTTGATAGACGTTCTGCGCGCGTCCGCTCAAACGTGTCATAATCTCCTTTGTAAGTGACTAACTTTTGCCCGTGCAAATGTAGTATATCTGTCACCACCTGTGCTACCAGCTCGATAGATTTCGAAACATATTCAAACATACCGCATTGAGAAAGTTTCGAGCATGCGACACAACGATAAGTGTCTTTGGCCACTTCAAAAGATACGTCTCTAACCACAATACTGCGTGTAGGTCCAAATGATTCTGCAGGTATTGATTTTAAGACAAAGCAAGATAAGTCTGTTACCGTACCGTGGGTTCATCGAGCAGTAGAAGGTCGGGCTGTATAAACAATGCCCTTGCCAACGCAATCCGCATGCGCCAGCCTCCAGAGAAAGTCTTAGTTTCTCGAACTTGCATATCGGACGTAAAGCTCAAACCCTGCAACAGTTTTTCAGGACCGAGAATTTGGAAAAAGAATTCCTACTTACAGCTAATATAGAAGCGGCACGAGATTCGGCCGTGTAAGCGTCTATTTGTTCCAGCCTCTTGTAAATCTGAGCAAGCCTTTCAGAAGCTGCATCTTTGGAACTTGAAGTATCGTTTGCACTTTTCTGGGAAGAGCAATTAATCAATAAGACAGAAAAAAGAGCTAAAACTGTTGACTTGCACCTTTGCATCAACCAGGCTCGCCTCCTCTTCGAGCAACTGGGTACGTTCAATATCGGTGCTCAAGACGCACTGCAGAACTGTCGTAGAGCTTCCGACCACCTCTTGCTCGACATGTAAGATCTGACAATTCTTTGGTAGTCCATCGATAGCATGCATTGCCATGTGCTTGAGAAGCGTGGTTTTTCCGGTCCCGTTTCTCCCAACAAGACCTTAAGCCACACCACTCAATCAATCCGAGCTATGGAACACGAAACGAAAATGCTCACCATATCTTCTACCATAAGCAAGCGTGACAGAGGCACTGTTGATGAGCTCCCTTCCGCCCATAGAGATGCTAAAGTTCTCCATCCTTATATCTTTCGGTACGCTGGCATCTCCGTCCGTGTTGTGAGTTACGTAAAGACCAGCCATCCCAGCAGCTGCGGCATCCGCTGCAGCAACATGCGCTTCATAGTCTGCCTGTTTATCACAAGAGAAATGAAAGGTGCTAGAAAAGAAAGAAGAAACAAGCCACAAACCCGTCTCTGGCGTTCTTCTTTTTTCCTCCTCCTCTCGAGCTTTGCCTGGTCGCGCTCGGAGATTTGCGGGAGAAGATCCTCGTGGTGTGCTGTGCCCGCAGCCTCGGAGCTACGGAGACCCTCTGACATGCGCACCGGAGCAGCCAGACTTCGCACCGATAGTTTGTTCTCGTCAATACTTC